ATCATCATCATCATCATCATCATCATCATCATCATCATCATCATCATCATCATCATCCAAAGTGGTTTTGAACAAATTGTTTGGACGCCAAGAGATTCACCATGAGCCCAGACTTGTCCAAAGGAATGCCAATACTGCCACCCAGTACTTCCAAGAGACTCACCCAATACTCGTAATCGTAGATCATGATCTCGCCCTTGAACAAAAGACCTTTCAGAAGTATCTTCATGACTTCTCGGCGAGGAGGAGGGAGGTGATGGGAAAGGCCTCTCAGTCTGATTTTTTCACTCAGGCAAATCATCGCCTCCTCTCAGAAGGAAAGGCGCGGGCGCAACTGGAGACCTTGCCAGAGATCGATGATGAACAGTCCCCTCCGAAAACTCGCGATGGAGTCGCAAGTGCGAGGGAGGGGATGACGATTTCTCCTCACCCTCGGGTTGTGCTTTTTGGGGGAGATCTTGGATCATTGGATCTATCCTAGTCTATCCTGCACATCCAACAACTCCAAAGAAATCAAGAATAGACCCAACAAAGATTTGTAGGCAGTGCTCAGTGCTCCACTCTTTTTATGGAACCCTTTAACTTATAGTTTGACATCCTTTAACTTTGGCTCAACTCTGGGGCAGATTGTTGATGCTTATAAGAAATGATCACAAAAGTGGAACATGGCTCCTTGGAGGACACATGTTCCTCTACAAAATAGGATCCAATATAGGTATATAAATAGATGCGATTGTTTCCTCTACCAAAAGATTCTTCCAGACGAGTGTCGTTCCGTAGGTCCACCCCCCCAAAAAAAGCGACCAAGACCGAGCCCCTCCGTGTGGTATGGTTGGGATAACTCCGATTTGTTGGACCAATCTGGACGATTGGCCGGACCAATCTCCAAGTTTAGTTGTTTACAAGCACATGTTTGAGCAAGCTTCAGATTCATCATCAGTATTCGTCAGTCATGTTCATGTTGGTGTGTATTGGAACCATTGCTGGTTGGTGAGAGGGAGCTAAGGGACTGGTGGCGGGGTTGTCATGGGTATTGGACTTTTCCTCTGAGTTGCTGGAGGGTGCTGTTAGGGTCTGGCATAGACCTACGACTTCTCTCTCTCTCTCACTTAGACCCTAGTATGTTCAATCCCGTTGATTCATTTGGGACCATGTCTAACTGCGTCTAATGTGCCAGATCTTTGTGACCCATTCCGGCCTCAGGTACAGCAGCCGTTGCGCCAAATGACCTGCAGCAACGCCCGCAAAAAGTCGTTCGGTCAGATGACGGCCCCGACGGTGCGGACGGAGGGATCGGGTCATAGCGAGGTGTTTTCCTTGGCAAAGCTCCCGCCACCCCCATGGCGAGTCCGCAGTGCCTAGAAGACTCCGGTCGACCTGCAGCTCCGACCGGCCACGGCGTGGGTTTTTCGGTGCATGAGCCGGAACGACTCATCCAGCTGGATATTCTGGGCGCACGACTTGTGGATGCTTTTGGGGATTCTGGATAGAGCCTCATAGAGGAAAAACGAAGCCAACAGTCTTGTAGGGGAAAATCGTTTATACAGCTCAGTGGTATTGAAGGTCTTGGGGTTCTCCTGGCGCACCAGCTGTTTCACTCGGACTGCTTTGTTCCCCATTGGGATTGATTAATAGGGCACCTCGGCAGGAAGCCCACAGTTTTGACGGGAGGAACGCCTGGGTGTCCTGTAGATTTGGGCGGACTCGCCTGATCCATTGAAGAGATGACTCGCCTGATCCGAAGCCTCTCCCACTTTGGCTCAAGCTGTCCATCATGGGGATCGAATCGCAGGCCTTTTCGGGGCCGCACCTGAAAGCGATCACTGGGTCTAGCTTTCGGGAGAGTAGAGTCGCAACAGTACCAACAGAGGTGGGTCGGGAGTCAGAACCCGAACTAGACTATCCCATAGGTACCCAGGTGACGGGTCCTATAACAAGGTCACCGAACCACTTTGGTAGGTAAAAGATCCTATTTTGAGAACGGTTTGCAACTTAACCATCATCATCGACTGTGGAACGGGAATGGGATGCACCTAAGAAATACACGCCCCAGGAGTCAAAAGCTACAAGAATTGTTTGACAGCGGGACTTCACGCTCGGAAACCAATTTTTGTTCGGGAAATGTATCGCTTTTGATGTAGTCTAGGATGAGCGATGTTACTGGCATCAGACCGATGGGCTGGATTTAGATGAGATCAGTCAGCATGCGCCAGCAAGCTTTGGGGGTTCTCACTGCCCCGGCAGGCTGTAGGCCATGTTGTGGTTTGAAACTCAGAAACGCGGAAGTAGAACATGTGGCTTACTTTTCATTACTTTTCCATGTTTGGTGAGAGAGATGAGTCTTTCAAGTTTACATAATCCTCGTATGAATGGGAGATGCAGATGGAGAAGCAGTGTTGGCGCAGGCGGCGCAGAGCTTCCTGCATCTCTTGGCCGTGGCCAATGATGGCGCGACGGGCGTGGTAGTGGGCGGGTGTGTGGGTGCCAGGGCTGATCCTGGATCCTGTCATCTTCAAGATTTGATGGCAACTGGAGGAGGTTTCCGAAGGTTTCTGCGTCATGCAGGTTTTTTTGGGAGATAGACTGGCAAAGAACATGGAACACACAATGCTGGTGCAGATTGGTCGCCTGGGTGGTGGCCCGTAACCGAATGCACCTGTGATGCACCCTTGACAAAATCCAAGGTCCAAGTTGCAAGTAGCAGACAGGACATGTTTTGCTTCCCCATTTGGGTGGAAGGGTGCTAGATATTAATCAATATAGATCAATGCAATATGAGAGTTGCATGATTGTGTCATCCATAGTTGATAGCCTCCTAACAAGCACGCCCCACCTTTAAAGGAATGTTGTTCTCCACGGTAGGCCCATGTTTCCATATGGGTGTGTACTTGATAGGGAGAGACAGAGGTGTCGATTTTGCGAACCTTCCAGGGCGTTTGTCAGAACGCTCCGTGCCTGCAGTCGGTCTCCCATAATTGAGCTACGCACCCATATTCGTGGCGGAGCACTCTTCAAGACCTGGTTCTTTACTTTGAACTCGGTTTATCAAGTTGCTTCCTGGCCGGGGTTGAACTCGGCCCAGTCTCAGAGATCAGTCGACATTCCAAGGTCACCAGGTCACCAAACTCGAAAACAATAATGTTCACGTCGCTGTTGGCCCGTGACACGAAAAACACAACAACAACAACAACAACAACAACAGCAGCAAAGAAAGCAAGCAAGCAAGCAAGCAACCAAACCAAACCAACCAACCAACCAACCAACCAAAGATATACTGATTAAGAGAGCCCATGCGCCGAGAAAAAACCCAAGACTCGGCCGACTCGCTCAGGCTCCCATGAGCCTCAGACCTTTCGTCTCCGGTGGGATCAGCCGTTGAGGCGCCGACCGGGGGACCGTTCGAGACGGATGGAGTGTGTCCGCGGAGTTGGTCCAAGAGCTGCAAGAGGGGAGACGAGTTGAAACGACTGGCATCATGTTTTTGCTGCATAGGTCTCAGTGATAGCTGCTAACATAGCGGAATTTGCAACGTGGATTTTGCCTGTGTATGTCATGGCTATGGAAAAGATTTGAAAAGCGAATCAAACAATTTAATACTGTTTGGGGGTCGGTGCTGGTGTAATGTGTTGATATATTGGCCTTGAGGATCATTTAGCAACCGTTAGGAGATGCTCCCCCCCGCTAAAACCACATACAGCTGCAGAACAGCAGCGGACCGGTGAAAATACTGAGCTGAACAGCGAGACCGAGAGATCACATGGGGGCGACGACCTGCTATGACAAGCTGATCATTTGCATTTATATAGCACCTTAAGTTTTGCTTGAGATGGATTTTTCTCAACCTTATCCAATGTGGGTTTCCCCACGACACATGCACAAGGTTGAACGAGTTCACCCCCCCCCCCGCTGAAAGAAGGAGATCAAAATTCTGGAGAGGACAACTGCACTGGACAAATCCAAATGACGCCACTGGCTGTTGCCCTTCCATCCTTCCGGAAGTCCTTCTGGGGCAGGCGCTTCGCGCGCGCCTATGCCGTCTTCCGGGAGCTCAGCCGAGCACCTACTAAGGGAGGGGGAAAGGCGAGGTGGAGGTGGAGGTGGGAGTTTCTTGGGTGAATCGACTGGCATGGGGAATGCAGATTGTATTTGTGTTGTTTTCTTGGCGCCAGGACAGTAAATCCAATCACTTGACCATGCTGCCATGCTTATCTCGCTGGCCAAGGATTTGGGAAAGAATCGCCTCCTTTTTCAGCCGGGGTGTTGAAGGGGAAGAAGGGCCTCCTAATAAGTTTACTTTTCTGCAGGCCCAAGGCTCCTTGTTTTCGAGACCTTTCGACAAGCTATGAAAATCATCGGCTTGCCCATACACTCCATGTATGGAATAGACGCCTACATTGATCCCCCTGGCACCACCCCAATGGAACCAATGTAGGTATATATGACAGACATGGAGTGCCTGGCTTGGGTCAGCTTTTCGTTTCGATGTGTTGAGGATGGTGCTACACATGGCGTCCCGGCATCCCGGCTGCAAGGCCCCGAACTGGAAGCCTCCCTGCGCCTGCTCGGGCAGCCCAGCGGAGCCGAAGGAAGGGAGCATCCAGGGCGAGGAGGAAGGGAGTGAAGATATCCACGTTTCAGCAACACTCCATGCATGGATTGCTGTTTTTAAACACCCTCTTACCCTGAAAGACTTTCCAACATCCAGCTCGAACAGCTCGAGCGTTCGGGATTCTCAAGCTGCCATTGAAGCAATGGTGGCTGGAATTCGAGACGTGTGGTCACAGGCCCCTTAAAGCATCGAATTGTAGGTGCTTTTTGGAAGAAGATGCCAGTCCCAAGTGGCTCCCAGGATGTTTGGACTGTGGGGTGTTTGCATGTCAGAGGGAATCCCCCCTTGGCATGGGGAATGTTTAGATATATGTTGTCCCGCATCAGCAATTCCAAGTAAACCCTACATATACATATATATATAAGTCCAAAGACTATATATATATATATTGATTTTTGACAGTCCATTTTGAACATAGTCGACCAGTCGACTGAACTCAGCGTAAAGCTTCTGGAATACACACTCAGCACAGCCCATCACCCCTGATCCAGATCGACGACGGAGCATCCGGAGCTGGCCAGGGTGCTCAGCTGGAGCTTGGAATGACGTGGTGCCTAGGGGATGCTCAAAAAAGCCAAAGTGGAATGGCTTTAGTGTGCTTTAGTCCCTAACTGAGTAGATGGACACACCTACCTTCCAATAGGCACCCCTTTGGAACCGAGGGTGGGAGATTGCGTTTGGGGGTTTGACTTTCTTCTGTGGTTTCTGGCTGTCTCGGCCTTTTGTTGCTGGCTCTTGGCCTGCTTTTGAAAGTGAGGCGCTGCGCCTTTCACTGCGCCTTTTCTGCGCCCTCCACCACCCCATCCTGCTTGTTCAATCCGAAGAAGGAGGTATCTCATCTTGAGGGGTCGCATCTGGTCGCATTTGTGAGGACTTGGATGCCACCGCGAGCACCTATGCCTTTTGCGACGGTCAAGAAGTGCTTTTCACCGCCCGTCCCGCCCAGAGAGTCTTCTCGCGTCCGTTCGGCGGTGAACACGTGGCGGCCGGTGGTGAACACGTGGGGAGTGGGGGAGAGACACAAGCTTTTGAGGCCGGAGGTATGTTGACTTGTCTCACATGAAGAGTCCGCTCATTGAGAGTCTTTCTTTGTTTTTTAAACATGTTTTCTCTTTGGTCTCCAAGTTTCATAGAGAAATCTCTATCACTTTCGTGTTGAGCCTGTTCAGCTCTCATGTTTTTCCCCATATTTATATGTTTCCCAATTGTACAAGTATGACATCTCTTCTTCTGTCAGGGCCAACTAAGCAATCCCTTGCCACCCACATCCGGTGCCACTCAGTCTCACCGGTGCCACTCCAGATGCCCCTCCGCCCAGGCCGGCACCCCACCGCCTGAGATCTCAGCTTCCCCAACTGCCAGGAGTCCCAGCGGGAGCGATCGAGCGGAGGTCTTCCCCACCCAAGTGACTCACGGTTTAGGAGGAGTGGCTGGTGGCTGTTGCAGGAAGAAGGTGAAGTTCTTGGGCTTGTGGGATCTAGCAGGTCAAAGTGCTAGAATCGACCCTCAGATTGTACACCAGTTCAGGTCATTTGTCACGTGCGACCTGCGATTTGGTAGTAGAAACATGAATCATCGGAGGGGATCCATGGACATGTTGGAAGCTTCTGGTGTGAAGTCTCTTCGAAAGCTTGGGGACTCCGACCGGGAAGGAGAAGCGTTTCTTAATGTTTCATTACCTTGACACTCCATAGAAACTGGCATATTTACCTACATTGGGGTGGTTTCAGGGGTCAATGCAGGTAAATATGCCATACATGGAGTGTTTGGGTTATATCACATGCAGGGGATCTCACCATGTGAAACATGATTGAATGTGAGTCAGAGTAAGCCAAAATAAATGTCAAAAAAGTCCAGACGGTGCAGAGTAGAATAGGGATGAATATGGAGACCCTCCAACCACTGTGTTTTCCGAGGGTCCTTGGTGGGTCTCCTCATTTCAATAGAACAGAGATGGAGTGTTTTTTCCTGATTACTGAATCTTTTGGGAGGGGTTGCTGATCCAATGAGGGTTGCTGATCCAATACTAGTCCGCAAGGCCTCCAGAGACACGGCCGGGCCGACCTCGGCCTCTTTGAGGCCTCCCAGCGGGCGGCCACCATGCGTGAGTCGCAAGGCAGAGGGCGAGCGCAACGACCCACGACGAGTCTTCGCCGGTGATGGGACCGAGTGGAGTCGAGACACGCCTAGAGGCCGATTCCAGCTTCTAGCTGTGCAAAAAGTGACCTCTTTGGAGACTCTAAGTGACCTTTTACAAGCCTAAGTGACCTCATTCTGGGATCTCAATAGGTCACTTGGAAGGCCCAGTGACTGAAGTGAATGGGGCATGAAACACACCGATAACTTCCCCTTTTGGAACGGATGGTCAAGTTTCTGTCCAGAAGAGATGCCCGGATGTAGGAGAACCACGATGCCCGGATGTCGGGCTGATTTTGAGCACGATCGCAGGTGTGAAGCGAGTGCGGCTGTCGCAGAAGAGCGTGGCTGGGACGTACCTGAGGGTGATATTATCGGATCTTGATCTTACACTGCGTGAGAGAATCATGGAATTGACGGAAGATCAGGCCCCTGGAAGACGACATTTCTTTACAAACAGGTGGTTTCTCCATGTAAATAACTCGGGGAGTCAATTTTTATGCGTGGCGCTTGGAAATTGGTTCATTTCAGGGTGAACCATTTTGACCATCGCACGCTCTCCGAGGCGTTTGGCCGCGCGGAATAGGTGGCGTTGCACTTATATATTTTCATGTATTTCCCCTATGGGTCAATCCCCTTCTGAGTCTCGGGATTTTGCTTTCTCCAGGTTCCTTAAGCCGATCCAAGTAAAAGACCGAGCACGACCCAAAAAATCTATAAACATGTCAGATTCAATGTACCCAGGGAGATTCGATGTACCCAGTGCCAGATTCGATGCACCCAGCGCCAGATTCAAAGGTCGGGAGAGACTTTGGCAATCTCAGCTGTGGGAAGGGGGTGGTATGCTCAGGTATTCTAGCACATGTTTGAAACGACACTATTTGTATAGCGATGATGTTGAATGAGGTCTTTTGTTGGCTATAGCAGACACTTCGAAGGTTTGCCTGTCACTGTATTGTCCTTTCACGGTTTTATACAGCGGTGTTCGCGATGTTTCCAGCCATGATGGGTGGCACCGACGAAAAGCTAAGGGCAAGAGCTCTCAAGTGTCACAGTCCTTGGTGCTGGCCTCGCAAGCAAAGGCTTCGCAAGCAAAGGCCGGGGTTCCAGTGCATGGGACGCACTCTCCAGGTCAAACCATTGGTGAACTGTAGGGTCTTGGTGACCTTGGAGGGTCCGGGCAGAGATGTTTGTACCATGTTGCCCTAACATTGACCGCACACCGGACACAGCACAGAAACGCGCGTTCTTCTGCGAGGGCAAGGCCAAAGCGAAGCCCAAGGGAAAGGCCAAAGCGAAGGCCAAGGCGAAAGCCTCTCCGAAGGCCGCAGCCAAAGCGAAGGCCTGTGGTTTTGGGCATGGGAGTTGTTGATGTGAGTTCTTACAGCTGAAGCGATGTCTAGTTAGTGAGACTCGTGGATGGATCGACCATGATCGACGATTTGTTGGCCAGCGGGGGGCGCTTTTGTCATGATTGCTGGAGGCACCAGGCCAGGTGAGCAGTGGATTTGGCACCTTCTCTCGCGGATCGTCCCGGAAATCCGAATTGTTGAGAGGAAGATAAGAAGAAAACGAGACGAAAGGGGCTAAGCATGTGGAGTTGTTGGATAAAATATGATAACATGTCTCAAGTTTGAGGGAACAGATTGTTGTCCAAAGCCTCCTGGGGCGCCGCAGCCCCAACTTCACACCTGCCTCCTGATCATGCCTTAGTGAGCTTTCATGCCGGGCCCCACCAGAACTCTCCACCTTGCGCGGGCCATGCCCAGGCCAAAGCAAAGGCCTGGTGACAGCGGCGCGACGGAAAGGCGGTAGATAGGAGTCACAGGTCATAGCTGGGCAAATCGCTCACTTCATGTCCCCAGGGTTTTGTCCATGGATGACCGGGTGGTAGCTGGGCGGATGAACACCACAAATTTTTGATTTGGTATCTCCCAGACACCCGGCATGGGGGTCGTCCCCCCTCGATGTTTGCCTGGAAGAGGCCAAGGCGGCCAAGGCCAAGCAGCCGGTCCTGCTGAAGGCGAAGCCGAAGGCGGAGCCGCGGGCGTGGAAAGTGGGGCGAAAGGCCCCCCGTCGCGGCCAAGCTCGGTGACCTTCCGCGCAACGACCCCCCTGGAAGGAAGAAGGAACATAGACCAAAATCATCCATCAGGAAAAAGGATGGGGCAGGGGTTCTCCCCTATTCAAAGGCGCACCCAGATTGTTTGGACTGAAGACATGATGAGGAGATGAAACATCAATGACTTTTGTGTATCAATGATGCATATAAAGTTGTTAACTGTTGTTGTGTTTTAACGTCCACACCTTAGCTCATCCCCTTAACTGCAGGGGTGGGGCAGTTGCTAGCAGCAAAGTGAGCTTCAAACCTGGCTGGTTGGCGGAGGAAGATCCTCATGTTCGTGTTCTAGGTAAGTGATGGTAAGTGTTCTATAGAACTGCGGAAAGATGTTTCGCGGAGTGAGCATGGCAAGAAGATAAGTGAGGTTCTTCACTGATTCATTCCAACAGATTGCAACACCTGAAATACACCCCGAAAAGTATCATGGAACCTGAACACCACTGGTGCAGCGGCTGAGGAAAACAGTGTGACGACCCGGGTCCCATTCGACGGTCCATGTGAGTTGTTGGGTGTACATCGAGTTATGAGTCCATGTGTGCATCGCTACCTTCCTAGGCCTTGCCTTGGCGACCTAGTGAAGCACGCTACCTGTCACGTGTGAAGCTTCTTGTTTACCTTCCTCTCCTTCCTCAGGTGAAAGCCAAGGCCAAGGCACCCAAGGAGCCAAAAGAGCCGAAAGGCCATCGGAGTCGTTTTTTTCCCTTGAACTCACCGGTATCCGGAGTCCGTTTGGAACCCCCGGAAGGGACCGTTGAGTTATACACATGTGTTTTATATACATGTTCTTTTTGTTAAACCGATTTGATCCTATTTGTCAAACAACTGAGATCTTTTAACGGTCACCAGGTCAACCATCGAATGGTCTTTCACCCAAACCCCAGCGTTCGGGGCCCAGGATCCGATTCGGGTGGAGAAGAATAGCCGTCCAGGTGCTTCGTGCAGAGTCCAGGTGCTTCGTGCACTCAGTGGCCCAGATCATGTGGCAGTGGGTCATGGCCAGGATGCCGACTGGTTGACCTACCTGGGTGGTCAAGCTATTACATGGTGGACCAGGGCTTAAAGTTTTGACACATCCCCATGTATGAAGATGTGGAGCACTACTCAGGTTGAGGATTGTTTGTTTCTGGTTGGCCACTGAGTAGTTGTCAGGCTGAGGTTGAACAAATATGGTAAGAAATGGGAAGGCACCTTGCATGACCCTACTTTCCTGTGGCCCTGCTACTGCAGCGGAGAAACAAGGAATCTGTGTCAATTCAGGAGGATTCGAAACCTCAATGCGGGGCTGCTTGCTACACTCCAACTCACTAACTTGGAAGCAGAAAACCATCAAGAAAGAACATATACAAACCAAGGTTTACTTCCCTTCCATGCCTTCCCGTGTTCATAGGAGCCATCATTTTTATCACCTCATGGGTCATCCTTGTTCGGCAGGGAAGAGCACTACAGCCACTGCAGTGGTGAAGGCAGAGGCCCCAGAGTCGGGAAGCTCAGTCTTTGAAGGGAAGGTCTCACTGGGACACTGGCAATGAATTCGTTTAAGGGAACATCATCTGCAGGAAACCTTGGAGCCTTTCAACTCACAAAACTATGGTTTTGCTGTTGGTGTTTCATGAAACCAATTCTTGGATGTTTCGGGCAAGCATCCACCAGCAGGTCCTATTACTAGGCTTGTAGAGGACCATGTTCTTCCACCGGCCAATTCTCAGGTTCCATGGGATCGTGACAGCGGGAGTAGAGAAGGGGGGTGGTTCATCAGATGTCATCAATCAGTTGGTTAAAGGCCGAGGGCCCGAGGGCCCGGTCGGGCCCGGAGACTGTGAGCCAACCTGCAGGTGTTGCAGGTGTTGACCTGGTTTGACATATGAATTCGACACAAGCTGATTTCTGAAAGCGATGGCTACACGATATAACAATATATATATATATATCGGACTGTCTTTGGAGTGTTACTGTTCCTTTTAGCTCCGAGGGAACGCCCGTCCCGAGTTAGCTACATCACCTGGACGGTCCAAGCCAGCTGGCTTGGTCCCTTGCGCCGGACGTGCCCGTTGCGTCGGAGCAAGGCCTGAAGATGGTGAGGTCCTTCCTGGCAAGTTTGGCGAGCAGGGTGGCCCGTTCCGTGGAAGACGCCCGCATCACATGGCATCACGGAGGGGGATGTGCCAGCAGAGGTTGAAGAACCCTAGTTCGACTATCCTATATATGGGTACCCCTGGTTACGGGTCCTAGTTCAGGTCACTTGACCTCTGTTGATTAATTACTGTAATGCCAAATTAAATCATAAGAGATCCTAAAACCACCAAAGGTGAGAGGAGATGAGCAACATCTTCCTTCGAAGAGGATTGGGCATGCCGAGTTCTTCAAGAAGCCGGGGGGTAGCTGGTGCCATTAAAAAAAATCCATTTGACATCAAGTATCACTTCAATTGGAGAGCTGAGAACTCATTCTTTCACCCCTACGGCGCCCTACGGCCCGAGTGACCAGCGGCCGCTACGGGGCCGAGGGGCCCACCGTTTGACACATGCGCGATACGAGCTAGCACCGCGCGAGATCGCACAAAAATACGAGCTAGCTCTCTCTCTCTCTCTCTTTGTCTTTCTTTCTTTATGTTTTTCTTTCCTTCTTTCTATCTATCTTTATGTGTTTCTTTCTTTCTTTCTTTCTGCCTTTTTGTCTCTCTCTCTCTCTCTCTCTCTGTGTTCAGTAGATGTGGATCAATGTGGATCAACATCTTTGCCAAGAGTTCCAAGATGGTTTTGGCAGCAGTATCAACCTTCTGAGAAGGTACGACTGGATCCCTAGGGTATGAAGCAGTCAGTACTTCCATGTACTTCCACACGATGTTGATCGCGCCTTGCGCCCTAGGCCGCGTGTTCCACGTGGTCGCACCTGTGCCAGATGCCCAGAAGCTGATTGCTTCCGTGGTCACATAGAAGTTAATTGAATCTTCTAGGGGCCACTGAATGCCACCAGTAGGAGTTGGCCAGGGTGAAGTTGCATCATTCGCTCCAAAGCCAAGTTTCTGTAGGAGTTGGCCATGATTTCTTGGGAGTCTCGAGGATGCTCGGCTCCCTTCCACTCCAAAGGAGTTGGGGAGTTGGACGAGGAAAAGAACCTATATATAGGCTTCCTGGTCCACCATGAATTCAATGGTTTTGAGCGAACAACCGAGCCACTTTACTAGGCATTTCACACCACAAAACTAGTTCATGGTCAATTACTGTTTCATGGTCATTGAAGACTCGGATGTCCGTAAAAAAGTCCATGTGCAACACCTCCTAGACACTCCATGTATGGAAGTCTATGCCGAATGGCTTTGCGTAGGTTCTGAGCATCCATTCTCCACCCTGAAGCTCCGGCTTTGGAACTCAATCTGCCGCTACCTGTGGATGGAACGGCAGATGGTCCGACCCCGTATTCCTCTCACAAGAGCCCAGAGCGAAATGACCCTAGGGCTCCTGGCCCACCGAACTGAGGAGAAGGTGGTTGGGGTGGGTTTGGTGGGCCTCACCACCTTCTGTGAGGAGATGGGCCAGGAGCCCTAAGGTGAGTTCAAACGTTGAAAGATGTTAATAAAGGCGTTCAGAACTTGTATCCTGATCTGGAATCCAGACTCACAGATCTCAGAAAACCCGTGGTTTCTGGACCCACCCGGAAGTGTCAGATATATATCTATCCCATCCAGAAGTTGTTTAAGGTCTATTCATGTTTCCGTCTTTTTTGTTTAAGGATCCATATCCATCCAGAAGTTGTTCATAGACCCTTCTTTTCACATGTCCCCACTGATACCCGTCATACAATATGACAAGGGGTCGCGTGGACGCGGACATCCGCAAGTGAGCGCATCCAGAAGTGTCAGATCCGCCGTGGGCCCCAGGCGGCCAGCGTGTCCTTTGGACCTGCCAAGGGCTGGCGTGTCATTGCCTGGCGCGGTTCCGCGGGAATGTCTTTTTGATACAGAGTGGGTGAGGTGATTTGGTGGAGTTGGTGAAGGAGTTACGTTTGTTTTGAAGCCTGGGAATTCCAGGCTTGTCTTTTTGAATACCGGAAGTGGGATGAGGTGATTGTGCGGTGGAGTGGGTGAATGAAGGAGTTAGAAGCCCCTGGAAATTCCAGACTTCGTATTTTTACAAAAAATGGTTCTTACTAGCTGATCCGAGTTCAGGAATGTCCTTGACTTTGGTGGTGCGAAAGGTGGTCAAACGGGGCTTCTAGGCTTCATGTAGACGCTTGATCCATTAAACACACAAGTTCACATGGAGGGCGTACGATGAATCGAACGGCATCAATTTTATGGGGTTGAGAGTCGACGGCACCAATTTTGAAAGGTGGTGTCATTATTCATATAGTATATCAGGGACCCCATGTATGCCATATATGCCTACATTGGGGGGGTTTGGGGGGTCAATGTTTTCATTACCCAGACACTCCATGAGACTGCCATAGGACTGCCGATCAGTTGGGGTGGTTTGGGGGGTCAATGTAGGCATATGGCAGTCCCATGGAGTGTCTGGGGTATATCAGGGACCCCGTCTAACAGACATCTTGGGGCGCCAGTGCTATCTACCACATCTACTCTGAAACAACTGTAAGGCTTGGTCGAGTCATGTTGATGGAAAGCAGAACCTCTCGAACCGGATAGGCGATTCATACGGTGGATTGATGGGATTTAAGGGTTGACGGTTGATGAATTACGGTGGATTCAACAAAAAATCCCTCTGGAGCGGAGATGGACACACATGTCCAGGCGTTGTTTTTGTGTCAATCGCAGTTAAATTTAATGTAGGTAGGTAGGTACGTGGGTACGTGGGTATGTGTGTCCCAGTCAGTGAATCTCACTATTTTTTGGAAAGTCTGTAAGCTATAGCTGTAGCTAGCCAATGCTAGCCATCCTCCACTGTTGGTGGTGGGGTATAGAATAGATGATACCCCAATATAAAGGTTGTATCATCGACGGGGAACGACCAACGTTTTGGTAGCTGAAGAGGGGAGCATGAGCCAAGGGGAGGTGCCCTTCTTGGAAGACATTAGTAGTTTTTGTTCCAAAAATGATTCCTCAGCAATCAGCAAATCATGTTTAACAATTTTTACATGCTCAGCCAAGCTAGCCATCATTCACTAGCTTGCTTTGACGTATAAATTGATCTATCTTGCGCAAGGGCAGCTGGTCTATCTCCAGGTTGCTCAGCTCGATCCATCCGCAACATCCGCAAGAGCCCTCGCCCGCCGCGGGCATCCAAAAGATACTCTGCAGATCGCAAAACGCCTTCCCGAAAACGGTCAGATCGCCACCCACCTGCAACTCGTTGCGGAACTTCCGCGGAACCGGTGGAACCGGTGGAACCGGCAGGTTGAAGGAAGTGAATAGCGTGAAGGAGCGCGCTCACGACTTGGTGCCCCCGCGGAAGGAGTCGGAGGAGTGAGCGGGGAAGTCGGGACCGCCATGAGAGCTGGGGAGTACCCCACTGAAAAGATGAGCATGGGGCGTGGACCCTGCCAAACACCATGGGTTTCAGAGGAGAACGGGTCTGATGACGTGGTGTACCTGCCAAAACCGACCGTCCCATGGAATCGGTCGTGTAAGAGGGGATTGGTCGTGGACTAGACCTTGGAGTCCAAGCTTTCCAGGAACCAGCAGACCTGGCTGAAGGGTGTCAAAAGGAGACAGGTGGAGACCGACGTGGAAAGCTCGGCCCGGTGACGTGCTGGCCATGTTGGTTTCAATGAGTGCTTAGGGGTGGTTCTTTGGCATGCGGAACATGTTTTGACCCCTCAAATTCCAAGAATATATGGCGTCCATTGTTGCAAGTGACGAGAGCGTCACTGGTTGGTGACGACATTTTGGTCGCAAAACCTTTGGTCCAAACACAACTGGGCATCCAGTCCTGGGGCCCTCCATAAAGCCGGTTTTGATTCATCGCAATTTTCCAAGAGCATATGTGAGACCCCCGAAATGCGAGAAGGATGAGCAAGAAGCGATGTCACAACCAGGGCCCTCACAGGACAAAAAGGACAATTTAGTCAACTATTATAGATACGTTGGGTCACCGTCTTAGCAAACTAATTTTGTATACTTGTGAATGTTGCTGTGACACACCACACATGTACGTGTTGCAAAGTCCAAGGTGATTTGCTGGAAGATTCTCTCCCCGCAGCGTCTGAAGCTCAGCACTTCTGGCATGTCATAGATTGCTGGCCGGAAGATAAGAGTGCCACTGGCCACTCCTTTGATTTTGACCGCTGCGCATGCCCAGTAAGCAAGTCTTCAAGTCATAGAGGGCCGTGCTTCCTGTAAGTGCAAATCTATGACTCATGCAGCTCCCTGTCCCTGAAAGATCCCCAACCAGCTTGATCACCCGAACCACCATGGTTTTCCAAGGATAAGAATGGTTAACTAGAGCTTGAAGAGTGCCCTTCTCGGACTAGTATCATAGTAATAAATTATATCTCACCAGACCCTACAGCACAAGTGACAGGAACTTCACCGTGCTCCACCCCATGCAAAAATCTGATAAAATCTGCAGAGGTCCAACTAGCAGGACGAACTGCCAAGAAGTCTCCCATGCTTGGACCTCTAAACAGGTACGAACTCTTATACCCGGCAGGGAGGGAGCGCTGCTTCTATCCCAGACCATTTCTGGCATACCTACCTACCTTGAGTGGGTTTCCCGGTTCAATGTAGGTATACAAAGTTATATAGGTGGGAGCGTTTGGGCATGTGTTTGTTAGAGAAGTGCTGCAGTTGAACATCGTTTGGGGTTGTGCAGTGTTTTGCGGTTCAGCTAGAAAGACATGTTCTTCAAGTCCTTGGAGGTGTACCCAGGCCTGGAGATGAACATGGTGACCTGGTGAACCTATCCACCTCCATTCAGCGCAGCTCCCTGAAAAAAGATAGCAGATCCCCTTTGTGTTCCGGCCAGATCCCCCTACTCAGCTCCGGCCCCTCTTCATCTGAGCTGCAGGCACCCGCGCCTTCAACTCGTTCCAGTGCGCAGTTGGGGGAGCGGATTGTTGTTTGAAAGGATTTGAGACGTTTGGAAGTACGTTTGGAGTGCATTCCCATGGAAACTGGGGAAGAAGATCGACTTGTTTTTTTTTTTTAAATACCAGGTTGCTTCATGGCAACTGGTGAATTTTGCCAACTACTTGGAACTTCCCTTCGGGGCCGAGGCTTTTAAGTTTGCTTCCAACTCGGCACGGCCCCAAGTCCTTTGGAAGTGGGCGCTTCAACTTGGGAGGTACTTGAAGAAGGCCGTGGGTGAAGGAGTGCAGGGAGCCCCGGCTTCGCAGTCAATGAATGAAGGAGTGCTGGGAGGAAGGTATAGGTCCTATTGTAGGTGTTGAAGAAGGAAGATTCTTGAAGCAGTTACTCAACAATCTACACCCGGGAAGAGACCCACATGGAACCTGAAAATGGACCTTTGGAAGACTAGCTTCCCCACAAACCAGTGGCCAGGGCGTACAATCTGTGGAGTTATACGTAGATATACGTAGCTGCATGAAGCGTTCAAGAATGAACATGCTGGATGACATTCATGCCCTATGATGGCGCCCTATGGATTACATACCTGCTGAGAAGGTGATTGGAGACATTTGGAGACTATGTATGTTCAATGAATTGGTTTAAGGAAACATCTGCAGGAAACCCATAGGAAATTGGGGGTTGAAACCCATGAGTTCCTGTAGATTTTCCTTCAACCCATTCATTGATATGTAGGCGCCAGGGTCGGGCCCAGTGGCACCTTCTGAGAAGGTGGCAGTGGTTCCCTAGGGGTTGGGTAACTCCCATTTTGAGGAGCAGAACCAATGCCAAACAGTTCACCAAGACGCGCAGGTGACTTCTATCTTCCCTATGGGTATTTCCCATGGTAAAGCCTTTCTTCTGCAAAACGATTGCGTTTTCAGCAGATCTCCAGGTGCTTCATGGTGCTTCCTCTTCAGCACCGGACCGCCCTTCAGGTACACGCAGATCTTCACCGCGGTACGACCGGGCTTGTTGAGTCCCTCGGTACGACCGGTGGACGGGGTGGGGTGGACCGTTCCGAAGCCGGTGCGGGTGGTGGCACCAACCAGGAGGGGCCTGAAACCTGTTCAGGTTGTTCCAGGAGAGGTGTTGCTTTGAGGATGTGTTGCTTCGGTGTCTTTTTTGGATGTTGGAGACTGGGGAAAAAACTGCAGTTGTCAGCATGCACCCGAGAAACTGGGAGTGCAGTTGTAGCACGGATCGACGGATCAATGTCCTTCTTTTTTCAAGATGCGTGACGACTTTTTGTGGCATGTGTTGGGTCTGTCCCATTACCTGTAACTGTAACATACCATACTGTAACAATCAGTATTTTTGAACAATTCCTTTAATTACTAACCATCCTCCACTGGGCCCAGGTCTTAGTGATAGACCCAATGCAGTACCCCATGCATGTGTGCTTGGCCTTTTTGCCCTCCTACTCATGCACAGCAGACCTTTGTGTTAACGGATGTGTTCCTCGGCTTCACTCTGTGTCTCCGTTCGATCTCAAACGGGGGCAGATCGTTATCGTTCGGTGTGGTTCTCCGGAGTCGGAGCTGCGACAGCCTCTGCAGTTGTGGGGTCCAAGGGGTCGGACCACCGCGACAGGAAGCACTACTTGGATCGGACTGAACTGGATTCATCAGCCAGTTCGACGAGTCAGACCTGTTCGGTCTTGAGGTCGCATCCGTGATAAGCGCAACGAGCTGGAAGGTGTTTCGGAAAAGAGGCGCGGAACGAGTGGAGCGGTGGTGGAGCGGTGGATGGTGGAACTGGGGTACACCCCAAAAAGGTGCGAGAAGGGCCAACAAGGTCCAGGTTCCAGGCTCGACTCTTAAGAGAAAGGGCATGGAGAGTTTTTTTTGCAATGGACCTGATGTTGCGCTCTTTTTGGACCTGATGTTGCGCTCTCTGGACCTGATGTTGCGGTCTCTTTGGACCTGATGTTGCGCTCTCTTTGGACCTGATGTTGCG